ATGTTCTCTATTTGAAGATGAGTGTGCTGAGGCTCAGAGAGGTTAAAACCTTGTCCAGGGTTGCACAGCTCATTCTGTATCAGAGCTGGGATTCCAACCCAGAGTGTCTCATTTCAGATCCCATTAGCTTTCTAGTTAATGCAATTGCTTTCTTTGGCCACTATAATGATCAAGAGAGGAAAGAATGCCTAGGAGTGAGGAAGGCAAATGATCAACAGTACCAGATTGTAGAATAAAGTAAAATGATTGGGAAGAATCCTTCAAATTTGGGCAGGAACAGGTCCCTGATGGCCTTCAAGGACACTGCTATGGAGAGGAGAGGGCAGAAGACTCTTGGTGGAGGAAGTTGGGGTGAGGACATGGAGGTCATGATGAGAAAGGGGGGTAACTTGGGGGTCGAGATAGGAAAGAAGGAATATCTTTGGAGCCAGAAGGGAAGGAATAAGTAGAGAAGGTAAGGAGGGAGAGGAGAATCGATAAAGCTCAGAGAGGGGAGTGGTGGGACCGACAGCACTTCCATTCATTCAATAAGTCGTTTTTGAGCACTTATTTCCTAGGGAGCACCGAGATCCAAGGTAAGATCCATTTTTTGGAATGGACAATATAATGAGAACAACAGATAAGGAACTGTAAACAGATAAATAGAATGAGAATTATAACAAGAGTTCCACAAGAAACAGCATATAGAGATAGAGAGTAAGGGGCCAGGAGCAACTTTGGGTGGGGGTGTTTAGACAAGGCCTTTCTGAATAGGTGAGACCAGAAGGGTGAGAGGGAACTAATTATGCCGAAGCTGGAGAAGGAAAAGGAGTAGAACGTGCAAAGGCCCTGAGGTGGGAAACGGACTGAAGGAACAGAATGACATGGTATGAACGATGTTTTAAGCAGGAAAAGAGCTTAGCCTTGAAAGTATTGAGGAGGGAGGACTGTTCTTCAAACAGGAGGAAAGGGGAATGCTTACATGATGATACCTGAGAAGTGTTTTTGCACAAGGAAAGTAGAGATACAAGAAGTTCATGTTGCACAGACCTGCTCTTCTCTGTGATTTTAGTGAGGGGGTGTTGGGCAGCCCTGTGTGAATGAACCTTTCTGTTGCTGAGTCCCATGGGGTTCCCATCACCCATACAAGTTGCCCCTTTTGATCACTGCAGTGACTTCCCACCATTTGCCACCTCTAATCTTTTTCTCTAAATCTTCTCTTTCTTGTTATACCTTCTTCTTGATTTAGAGTTTTACTACTAATTCCTCCAGGGAAGAGGAAGTAAATAAAGTATTTCTAGAACTTTAAAAAGTCTGATAAGTCTCAGTTCCTGATCTAGCCTATAGTTCCTCTGAGTCTCTCTGAGGTGATAAATGGAAACCTATCCTGGTTACCTATTTATGTATAACAAACCAACTCAAATCTTAGTGGCTTAAAGCAATGACAACATTTATTTGCTCATGAATTTGCAATCTGGGGAAGGCTCAGCAAAAATGTCTCTTCTCTACTCCATTTGGCCTCCACTGGTGTGGTTTTAAAGCTGGGGGCTGGAAACATCTGGATGCTGGCTCTCTCACAGTTGGTATTTGCTGTCAGCTGGGCCTTAGCTGGACTGTTGGCCAGAACACCTTAGTGTGGCCTCTATATAGAGCTTGAACTTCCTTACAACATGATGGCCGAGTTCCAAGGGGAAGTGTGCCAGGAGAAAGAGTTAGGTGGAAGCTGTATCGCCTTTTATGACCTGCCCTTAGAAGCCATGGAGCATCATTTCCACTATATTCTATTTATTAGAAGCAAGTCATCGAGGGGATGGAATTAGACTTTACCTTTAGATGGGAGAAGTGTCAAAGAACTTTGAGGACGTGTTTACAAATCACCATAAACTCATCGGACTTTGGCACAGTGCCTTTATTCGCTTGATGGGTGTAAAATGGGAGTTTCACCTTTTCCCCTCTTTTAGACCCTTATTTGGGGGATCCAAGAGGAAAGTTAAGCCTGGAACTATGGTCAAGGAAGAGTAGTTATTCAGGCTCTCGAAGTACACACTTGGATTTGAATCTTGGCTTGTCATTTACCAGCTCTGTGTACTTGGGGAAGTACCTTGAGTATGCTTCATTTTCTTCTGTAAAATCACAGTATCCTCCTCATGGGGTTATCGTAAGGATTAAATGAGTTAATACATGTGTTATATAATACATACTTAGAGTACTGGCTAGTGCGCAGTAAATACTCCATAAGTGTTAGCTGTTGCTGATATGATTATCCAACACATGTTTATTACTCTTTAATTAAATTAGGCTTAGGTGAGTTCTGGGCTAGATGCTAGATATTTTCAAACATGAGGGCAGAGAGTCTGGGCTTTGGAGTCAGCCAGACCTGATACTCATTCTGAGTTTACTTATAGTTTCTAGCTGTGGGATCTTAGATCAGTCTTTCACTTTCTCAGCTATAGTTTCCTCTGTTGAAAATAATTATAGTAGTATCCTATATCACTAGGTTCTGGTGAGAATCAAATGAGATAATAACCTTAGCTCAGTTCTTGGAAAATAGTAATTGCTTAATAAACGTTAATCATTAATTTTATTTATCAGGAAGTAAGCTAATGAGGCAGAGAATGCTATACTAGACAGGGAAACTCCCTCTAAGGGAGTCCAGCAGAAGAAGAGATTAACTTTACCAGGAAGAATCTCCGAAAGCCCAGAGGAGGTGATATGGGAACCGGGCTTTGAAGAATGAGCAAGAGTTTTTCAGGTAGGAAGTGGGGAAAGAGAAGGTATTCCAGGCGGCAGGAAGATCTTCAATGGCATGAGGTTACAGAGGTGTTGACATGTTTGGAGGAAGGTGATAAATTCAGTGTGGGAGCTTAAGGTATGTGGAATAGAGGGGATGAAGCTGGAAAGGGAAGTTCATGTCAAAGCATTGGTTCAAGTGAAAGAAACTGCCATCTGTAGGCCAAGGGGGACTGGCAGGGTGTGGAGAAAAACTAGTGGCTAGGCTGGAGAGAGGTTTTGTAGGTGGAACAGACAGACTGGGGGCGGGGCGGGGGGGGATTGTGTGTGTAGATTTTCTGTGTGAATTCAGGAGACTGCACTGAGGAAAACAAAAGCCAGCTGCTGAGGAGTCAGGGGAGGAGGATGGAACAAAGTTATGGGATGTGAAGTTCAAAAACCTGGCTCTGGTATATCTCTGAGTATCTCCATGATCTGAGATTGTCATACTATTTTGGCCTTAGTTTCCTATCAATAAATAATATAGCCTCTCCTATCTGCTACACATAATTGTTGTGAGAAAGAAAAGAGATAATGAGTGTGCAAGTGCTTTGTAAGCAGTAAATAACTAAATAAATATTAGTTCCTGTGTTCTCAGGAAGGCAGTCAACTGCATGGGATAGCACAGCTAAAGCAGGGTTTAGGTGAGGTGGAAAGTGGGGGATATTTGTTTGTTCTGGGTGAAGATAAAGATAGACACAGTGATCAACACACACACACACACACACACACACACACACACACACACACACACACCCCTCAGATAGAAACAACAATTTCCACACTGGGCTGGGTCTACAGAAGGGCAATGGGAAACTCAATCCCACCACCAGTGAACCTACCAGATGCCTTATACTGCTCTCATCTCTCATTGGGATGTGAATAAGGTGGTCCAAAGGTCCAAATCTGGTCTTTGTCTTCTTTTCAGGTTCTGGGGAACCACAAGAATTTGTGAGTAAAAGCTTGTACTATACATATCTAGGGCTAGAATCCATAGTCTCCAGCAGAGTCCAGAAGGCCCTGTGACAGCCCCCAGCCCCCAAAGGTTAAGAGTCATTGATTTTCTCACCAGAGATTAATAAGAATAGCTATCCTTGGGGAGAGAACTGGTGGCGGAAGAGGGGAATTTTCATTTTTCATTTTCAACTTTTCTGAACAGTTTGAATTTCCTAACTACAAACATGTGTTAGTTTCATTGAAAAAACTATCATCAGGGGTTATCTGGGTGGTGACATAACAGGCCCTTTTAAGATTTTATCTTTCTACCCCTTTGAATTAAACAAACACAATAAACACAAGTACTAATAGCTGTTATTTAAAAACCCTGATAGTATCAGCACACAGACACACAAATTACTCCATTATGCAAAGTACATCCACTATTATGTAAGGTAAAATGTCTACATTTCCTATAAACTTGCGTTTGAAGTAGACGAGAAAAAAAAAGGCAGTCGATTTCAAGCATTTCAACTCAGAAGCATAAAAATAACGTGTATACGTGTCAATCTTCATATGTAGTGTCTTCTGCATTCTCGTGAACTGGCCAATGTGCCAGCAGTTGGCGTTTGATGCTTGAAGTGATGGAATGGAGAGCAGGGTTAAATCCACTACCCTCTCCCCACGCACTCTAGTAATTACTCTATTTCCACGTCATATTTCCGGGTGTGTGTGTCCTGTCTCACGCAGAAACTTAAGTTCAAAGCAGGCGGGAGTCACCCATGTTCTTTTTGCTGTCCCCAGAAACCCAGTGTTGAGGTGTTGGGCCCCCTGAGGATCTAGCGATACCTGGGGATTGTCTAACTGGCTGATTCCCACGTGGTTAGTGACTCCCAACCTCGCTGCCACGTGGTGTCAGGGCCGGGAAAAGGGAGAACAGGCAGAGCAGAGCTGCATCAGGGGCATTTAAAGTGTCTTGACGTCACGCACTGCCAGGAACTCAGCTGAGTTTTTAGCAGGACATTCCGGTCATCTTCCCTCCCTCCCCCCGGGTTTCTGTGCCCGAGACCTTGGCAATTCCTCTGCTGCTGCGGAGGGAGGAGCACTAAGCCTTCGGAACAGCCACCACGGGGCGTTCCCAGCCTTATGTGGCTCCGCCTTTTCTCCCAGAGGCCCTCCTCATTGGTCAGTGGGTGGGGCTTCGGGTGTACGGTACACACAGCAGGGCCTCTGGGTGGTGGAGAAAACTGGCCGTCTCATGAATTATGCAGGACGGTGTGTCGCGGGCAGGCTGGGGCTGGGCAGGGATTGGCTGGAGGGGCTGTAATTCAGAGGTTTCCGGAGCTGCGGTGGTGTAGACAGGGAGAGCCTGGGGTTCCGACGTCGTCGCGCAGGGAGCGAGCCCGAACCGGATATTTGACGAGCACCCCAGCTCCGCACTCTCTCGGTGTCTGCTAGGAGAGACCCTGTGGCCTGAGGGAGCCCCGTGGCCCGCACCCCGGCGCAAGCGCACCCCGGCCTGTCGGGCCTCAGCCCGAGAAACAGGTGAAGGGGGTGAAGGGTGGGGCCGCCCCCCCGACGGCTCCCAGGCTTGGGGATTCTGGGGTCACCGGAGGGACTGGGAGCCCCTGGGGTGTTTTGGGGAGTGTGGATGGAAACTAAAGGGGGATAAGGGGATACGAGGAGACACGGAGAGTCGCTCTGAAGGGACAACTCCTGGGGATGACAGGAGCGAGCCTCGGAAGGGACTGGGGACGCTGGAAGGAAGTTTCATTATTCGGAGAATGGGGAGGCGCCGAGGAAGAGCGAGGGGGAGGACCGTGGGGCGAGAGAACTCTAGGTGGGGGTGGCAGAAGTGAGGGACAGCCCCCCGACTTCCTGCTCCCTGGGGCTCCGGAGACGTTCCGGCCACAGGAGAGACTGTCACGCTGGCGGAGATCACGGAGAGGTTGGGGGTCGGTTGAAAAGAGCCTCCCCTCCGCCCCCCGCCACTTCCTCGGCCTTGCCCTGTTCGAGCTCCTTTAGGAGCCAGCCGTGCCCCTCTGGAGGTAGGAATAGGTGTCTCCCCGCTACTGTCTTTTGCTCTGGTTGGTTGTGGGTAGGGTTATTGCATAAGAATCAAGTTTCCTGTAGTGAAATTGACAGCCTTGTATTCTTTCTAAATTCCCTCCCGTCTTTTTCTAGGTTAAGCCGTTCTTCCCTCCTCCTCTTTCTAAAAAAAAAACAAAAACAAAATAACCTTCCTTCCTATCTAGCCAGCTGTAGAGAGAAATAAACCTCTTTTCTCCTTGACATTGTTCTTTATAAACACCTGGTAAACTCGGCCAGAAGATAAATAATTGAGCCCTTGCCTTTACTGGATTGTGGTGTTGCTTAATTGCATAGGACAGAATGCACCAATCAAGAGTGGGAGTTTTCTGTCTCAGAGCCAAGATCTTGGGCAAATGCAGAGGAGAAGGAAACAAAGACAGGCTGGCCTTGGTGAAGCCATGTGTGCAAACTTTACCTGTATTTGAGGGGTGCGGTTGGGCTTAAGCTAGCAAAATTCAGATTGTCACCGAAGTTGTTTTTTTATGTTTAGTACACATCCCTCTGTGTTATAGCAAGTGGGTGTATAGTATGGACACACTTGTTCTTATTAAAAAATGTATGTAATGTGTATCTGCTGGTTTTATTTGCGTGTATATCTAGAAGGTATTTTTTTGTGTGTATAGGCTGTAACTTTTTGGCTAGCTGTGGTTTGAATAAATCAGAGTAGTAAATCATCTCAGTCTTTTAGATGTGGATTTAGACTGTTATGACTTGATTCAGCCAATTTCTATTTTTATTTTATATTAAATATGTCTGTGTTCCCTGAATCAACATATTTATTTCTTTATTACATGTGCCAGGCAGGAGTACTAGCAGAATTTTTAGTCAGGCATTTGCATAGGGGAATGGGGGAAAGAAGTCTGCAGTACAAAAAAAAAAATTATTGTAGATATTGGAGGCTTGATCTTAGTCTCTGTATTTGTTAGCACATCCACCAGAAAGAACTACTAGCAAATCTATGAATCTTTTATATGTAGTTCTTTTCGGAAGAATTACCATTTAGAAACATCCAGTTATCACTTGACCCACAAGGGGTAGATAGTTCATATAATCTTAACCCTATTTTGTAGGTAAGGAAATTGAGGCCAAAGGAACAAGATACTTGTCCAAGGGAGCAGAGGGCCATAGTGGTGGAACTCACAGCTTCTGTATATTTTGAGTTCTTTTGACTATCTATGCTTAAGTATTTGGTCTTGATTTAGAGTGAGTGTAGGCCCTGTTGGGAAAATTGTCAGTGAAATTCTAACATATACCTGGGTAGTGAAATACCACCAATAGCCTATAAGAATCCATAGGAGATATATAGTAAATAAGAGAAAAAGTACAAATAGGGTTTGCTTAAGGTTATTTTTCTATCTAACTTCTCTGTCTAACTTGGAAAGTAACTAATTTTTTGGTCAGCATAATTTACCATCAGAATTAAGCTACTTGCTAATGGAAAGAGATATTATTTAGGCAAGCTTCTAGGTGAAGGACAGTTGTGACCTAAATGTCATTTAAACCAAAGTGTCTTGTGGCTTGATCAGTGGTCATTTGTGTCTCCAGAAAGTTGCTTTCTTCTCCCTGCTTCTTTGTGTCTTGACATTCAGATGCGAGATGAGACGGAGTACTGACCATTATAACAGACACTTAGTCCAGCACCTTTTTACCTTATGGTTCTCTCAGAGATGGTGTATAAATATTTACTTTTTGCAACTTAGTGAAAGTTTTGTTTATAGAACTTGCAGTCCACTGAGGCCACTTGATACTTTATCCATACAATGCAACATGTTGTCCTCAAAGAGATGGTGAGACATTAAGCCTGTGCTGTCCAACAAGGCAGCTATTATATATTAAAAAAACGTGTAGATAGAGAACATACCGTTATCATGGAAAGTTCTATTGGACACAGTGCTGCACTAAGCACTACAGATCTTTAGAGAAAGGAGAGGTCACAAGGATTGGAGTTGTCTAAGTCTTCTTGCCAAAGGAGAGATTTGATCTGGGTCCCAAATAATGGTTGGAATTTGATAGGTATAAAGAATTAAGGATGAGAAGGTATAGTGGAATAGCACAAACAAAATCCTAGTAGATTAGGAAGGTAAGTAGGGAAGAAGGAGTGCCTACTTGTAAGAGGCCTTGAATGCAAGACCAGGGAATTTCAGTTGTCCTTTTAGAGGCAGCTTTTAAAGATTTTTGAGGCGGGGTACTGGTGTTTAATTATGGAGCACCTACTGTGTGTCAGGCATGTGCCCAGTGTTGGTTCATTCAGAGTTAATAAGTGCATGTGGCCTCTGCCCTAGAGTTGTCATTGAGGCTGACCTTATAAACTGGGCCAGCACCCAGAGACTGGTGTCCTGATTTATCGGATTTGTGTGGGTTAAGTGCAGAAGTGTTTTTTGAAGATTTTTAATTGGCTACAAATTGACCACTTGCATTTTATGTCTTCCATATTTTAAAACTTTTACTATAACTTTTGGGTCATTTATAAAAATCAGCCAAAGAGCACTTGAAGGACATCCTTAAATCCTGAAGCAGCCCTGGTGTCCTGGAGCA